CTATCCAGCTTGGAGCGCAAGGTTATTATCCAGGTACATCAGTTCATGAAAGTTATGTGTGCCATCATTTTTATTTGCGTTATTCTCACCTTGAGAAGCGTAATATCGTACACCATCAAAAGTAGGTGAGGAACTGTGCTACTATGATGTTTAAAGATCATAATAACCAAGCTCTGCACGGTTAAGTAATCCAAGCTTGGTCTGAATTAGGCACAGATCGGTTTCAGAGGTATAGTGAAAGTTTAGTCACCTCTGCCAAAAGTCCCTCATTCCTCGTTTAAAGGGAGCTTTTGGTTTTATCGTAATGTTTTGCCATCAGCCACTCAGAGAATTCACCTTCCTCTCCCCCAAATGTCCTGTTGGAGCTTTTCCCAGATCCACAAAGGGTCATTATCTCAGAAAACATTTTAAATAAACCTTTGTAACTTTCAAGTTGTGCTTTTATTGCAATTGTTACCTCCACCAGACTTCAAGACATAACAAAACAACATAACACAGTGAGGGTTTGTTTTAATCCCACCTATTGTGCAAAACATAACATACAGTAGGAAGATAAATTAAGTTGATTCATTTTTTTAATTAAGTTTAAAAAAAACTTCAAATTGTCCAACCCCTGTATGTCGCATGAGTAAAAGACATTGGAAATGCTACAGTATCAAGCAGGAAATCTGACAGAATTTCAATCTTACCTTCTAAAAGGGTAGCGTCACTACAAGACATTTTAGGGAAAATTGAGGGAAGCCTGTCTTAAAGCATGGATTATATTATTGTAGTATATCAGGAAGTGATGCACCTTCAGATTATAAGAATTTTATGAGTTCTTTAAAACTGTATGGATATTTCTGTCTGGCATAACTACAGTAGACAGTTCCAGGCCTGGAGGGAGTCGGGCTTGCAATCCTAGCCCCTGCCCATCTCAAGACCACTCACAATGACCAGGTTTTCTCCTCAGCAAAAGAGGTTCAGCTTTATTTTTCAAGGAACATCCTCATGCAAAAGGCCACATGATCAGGATAGCTTTGCAAAATTGCAGTTGGGGAGAGGAAATACACACAAAGAAGCATTTTCTCCCAGGATCTTTCAAATAAAGTTATTTTTTATGCTATTTGATGATCTAAGTTACACCTCACCTTAAAATCTTTACCATTTTATTTGACTTTATCTATTTTTTTTTTATTATTTGTATTGATTAACTGTAACTTTTGTTGTTACCCTGTTTTGTTTTTTTTTCAAATGGGGAAGTGCATATTACTTAGCACGGGTTTATGAAATTCACATGTAAATATGCAAGACTTTGCCATAGGTTTCTTTTGTTCAAGTGCAGGTCAATGTTTACAAATGTTTCACACAGCGAAAAAAAAAAAAAAATGGAATAGGCAATATAGCAATAGAAATCATCAGTACATGAGCAGAAAAAGAAGACAATTATAGTAGTGCAGACAATAAAACAGTTCCCTCTGATACAAGTTTATGTGCATATATAAACTTCATATATCTAAAATCTTCAGGCTCAGATGTTATATAACACAAGAGACAATGAAGAGTGTCTCTTTGCTGTGTTAATGGCATCAACACATTTCCCAACCAATTAAAGAAATGTTAGATTGGGCAGATATTACACTCAGATTATAGAGATGGAGCCTGGGTGGTTGGAATATTAATTAAGAAAGCCTTTTCCTTAACCTGTTGGAATATTCACTCATGTCATCACACCAGATTTAAAGGGTTTATTTATCATAGTCTATTTTATAACATTACCGTGAAATATAATTTATCATAGAAATGAGAAAATATCTGATAACTTAGAAGAATTTAGATTACTCTTATTTTTCTCACTTCTATGTCACTCTTCTATTATTTGGGGATGCATGAACTTTGCATTACAACCAGTCTAAGAACAATGTAGTTCTAAACAAACAGTCAAGCTTTTAATTAATTTTTTTACTTCGTGCAGTCACACAGACTTTTTAAACCCCAGAATCACAAAATTATGTCTTTTTTAACAAAGTCTTTTTCATTCTTTTCTGCAGTCCACTTTTTATATTCAAAAATTAGCTTCCCTTATTTATTTATTTTTTTTTCTTGAACGTATTAGCCTCCTTGTATTAACAGTGTAAGGCCAACTTCACATGAATATTCTACTTTGTGGGCACAAGTGGGAACCTTTTGTTCCCACTTTTGGGCTTTGGGTTAGGTGTAGAACTATGGTGTGAATCCAGTTTAAATTAAGTTTATAATTAGGAATGCAGGAGTAATGGTTAAAGTCAGGATCTGGGTTAGACCATACAAATGAATCCAAAAGGAATGAAAGTCAATGCAAAATATCCATATAACAGGGTCTTGTTTTTAATATATCGTGTCCAAAAAATAGTGTCTTCGCTTCCTCCATATTGACTCTTTAGTCAAAACCCACATTTGATCTTTAGAGGTTTTGTGAGATCTCCCGTTTGAAATCTGAACCTTCCCTAATGAAATCTGGTAGTTTGTGGTATATTGTGCTTGTTCTTTGGTTGTACACCATCCACTTTCAGACAGAACCTGTTAGATCAATTTTTTATTTTTTTTTTTAGCCATTATGTGTGGGGTCATTTAGGTTTTGAAAATTAACAACTAATTGAGTTGGGTCAGCTTTAACACCTCTGTTTTCTTAGTAACGGCTGAGTGTGCACCTTGGTGCTTTGCTGAGGTGAAAGAAGAAATGGTTCAGAGTTTCCAGATGGGTATTTTCTGTGGTCCTGATGGCACATCAACTGTGATTTTTGCTTTACCTGTTTTATACAACCAGAAAGCTAATTCCCTCACACATGTTTTCTTTATTTTTTTGCCATCAGAATCTAAATCGCAGGCTCTGTATTTTTATGCATGTACAGTATATATTTACAGTATTACATGCATAAAAATTAACTTACTTTTTGAACCTTTTATTTTTTTTACAGAGGTTTTTACAGCACTAGTGGCTCGTGTTTTTATACAGTAGGCTGACAGAAACAGGGGTAAGAGAGAGGGGGAGAGAGAGAGTCGGATTTGAACCTGGGTTGGCGATGTCGAGGACTAAGGCCTCCGTATGTGGGTCGTGCGCCCATCATTTTTTTGTCTGATGTAGATCTGTTGACCATGATTACCACATTTATAATAAATATTGTCATCTATGCAAAAAAAAAAAATAAGCAGTTTCAAATAATATAAACATGTAAACATGGAACATTTCATGATCCATGTTTTATTTAACTGTATATTGTATGATTTAACTGTATATTGTATATTAAATGTATATTAAAATGTTAACAAAATTATTAGTTTAAAAAGTGATATGTTTCAGCAGTAGAAAAGCACTCTGTGAGCACAGACCTGTGCCAAGCAGCAAATTTTGCCACAAATTGTGACTTACACCTACAGCTAAAACTTACATATAATTTTAATGATTTGTTCCTTGGCATGAGGCGCACCTCTAGTAAAAAGTTTCCATAAGACCTGTTCATAAGTTTTCAATTGATCCTGCTAACAAACCAACAATGTTCCCTTTTCTTGTCTTTTTGTCTTCAGTAAAATACCTCTGGACTTTTTGAGTCCAATGCTGAGGCTGTCCATAGTCACTGCTGCCACCCGCTGGTTTAGTGGGGAACTGCTTGTTCTAACACATATCCTTATTCAACGATGTGCGAGAATTAAATAAAAATCCTTTATCTAGATTATGATTTGTATCATCACCAAGATTTAATGAATTGTCCTTTGGCCTAACGGATATTGCTGACAAAAATGTGTCCTGTCCATAACTTTTCAAGTTATCCTGCAGACTGACAGACAGACAAACACATAAAGTCTCGTAAAAACACAACCTTCTTGGCGGAGATGATGATAAGGCAACATGTATTAATGGGGACAAATGGAGATCTGAAGTACATTAATTAGTTTGCATATAAATTAAACCGCATCCCATGTTTCTTAAAGCTGTATTTTCATGAAATGAAGTTGTGTACATGTACCTTTATGCAAAATATTAGTCATCTTATTGTTATGAAAGGGTGTCATAAGTATTTTCTCTTACTTTTTTTTGGGCAGATACAGAGTATAGGGAGTGATTTGTACAATAACAGATTCAGAACCTAACACCCAGTGGTTGATTTTTTTTCCTTTTGTTTAAAATTAAAAGATAAAGAAAACTTAACCAGTCATAATGTTTTGCATGGGAGGCCCAATTTTACATCTCATATCAGCAGCATGTATCCTTATTTTTGAGAGTATTTTCAGAGTAAGATTAAAATAAAACTGCACTTTTTGGATTTGGCTCCTTATATATATGTTTGTAAATGCATCCCATAACACTACCATCTATTCTTTGTGATCGAGAGTAATCTTTCATTCAGTAAATGTCTGACATATCTTAAGTTTAGTAAAAGGAGATGCTCATTATATATACAGTGACTCACTCTGAGTAATCAGTCTGTTTGGTCTTTCACATTTACATGGGAACAAGAGTCTCAGCAGATCACTCACAGATCAATTGAAGAATGAATGGACTCTGTGTTTCAATTCTTGCTCTCTTTTGCTTTTGTCAGTCACATCGACCAGTTGGTTCATTTTAATTAATGTCCTTTCCTTAGTGTCTTTTTGCTGTGAATTTGATTGTTTATATGTATAGCTGTTGTGTTAAAACTGGAAAATGGGGAACAACAGAGGGCAAGAAAAAAAAGAGTACAAAATTATATTTAGCAAAGATAAAAAGAGTGATGGTTATCATGTCTAATTATTTTTTATGTCTAGATGTTTCTAGACTTCCATTTCTTTGAGATTCTGTGAACAAAATTCACTGTAAATTCCTATATTTATTAGTGATCAAAACATGGCATACATTAGGATGGGTTAACACATATTAAGATTATTTAATGTCTTAAGTAAAGGATACAAAAAAAATGCTCACAAGTGTGGGAGTGTTTATTCGAATGGTTCATATAATTGTTCCCACATTAATAAATTATAATGCGTCTTTTCTTTCTTTGCAGATCACGAATCGCTACATCTATGACACAGTTTTGCTTCTGGCCAATACCTTCCACAGAAAGTTGGAGGACAGGAAGTGGCACAGCATGGCCAGCCTGAGCTGCATCAGGAAGAACTCCAAGCCTTGGCAAGGAGGCAAGAGCATGCTAGAGACTGTAAAAAAGGTAGGGGTGCTTGCCTGTGAAAAAAAAAGTAAAAAAAACAACAAATATTTTGGTTAATAATGTAATTTTCATGCATTATGCAATGAAAGCAATATGCAACAAAAACAGGTAGCTTATATGCTGAGGGAGGAGTGTAGAATGGCACTGGATTCAGATTATCTAATCAAAGGAATGTGAAACTGCTTTGGAGGAAAACAGAAGAGGAATATTGAGGGAAGTCAAATAATTCAATTACCACCCTGCTCAGAAGAATGTAAAAAAAAAAAAATTGGGGGACACGACAACAAATTTAAGCCTTTTAGCAGTGTTTGTATTTAAACATAAGTCTAGGGGATGCACTGGTATGTATGTGTCTCTGTCTGACACCCATGAGAGGGATAGGTCTCTATCAAAAATGGACTGGCTCACACATGACCTCTCGCATCTGACACATGGCTACATGCATCTCACATCATCCTGCATCCTCCCACGCACTCAGCACGTCTCCATTTGCAAAATCAGAGCCCGTTAAACAAAGTCCAGGTAGACCCGTGTCCCCACAAGACCTTAGGTGCCCTCCATTCCAGAACCTAATAGAAAGATAATTAAAAGTCCA